ATACTATGTCTTTCGCTCTTTCTCACTCTCTCTCTCTCTCTCTCTCTCTCTCTTTCTCTCTCTCTCTCTCTCACTCTCACTCTCACTCTCTTTCTCTCAGTTTCTCTCTTTTTGACTCTTCTCTCTCCAACACGCGTTTTCTTGCGATATTCAGGGAGAACTGCATACGTCTATACTTTAGGAGGTCAATTTCAAAGGTCAATTCTACATGTCATCTCTTCAAATTCTCAATTGTAATCAAAGCATTGAACAAACTTGGGGGACCGCGGTAGCCGAGTGGTTAGCATGAGACACTCTCACGCCGCGGTCGTGGGTTCGATTCCCCCTTTTTTCACAATAACCCCCCCCCCATTTGAAACACACATATAAGAATTGTCACCATGGCTAATATGCATAGTTCATAACGCCAAAAAAAAAGTACTTACTTTTTTCAAGGTCAAATTAACGGATAAATGTTAAAAATTTGATGTTTTTGCAAATTGTTGAACAAAATAGTGATTAAGATTTTGAAATGTCTATTAAAACAAAATAACTGATGGAAATAGAAAGTAAACAAGCAAGACAAAATTAAACTTAAAAAATCTTTTGAAAAAATCAATTAAATGTTCATTACGTCCACCTTTTCGAAGAATCAAGCCTGACTTCGTTTCAAGAAAGATTTTACTGATCTTTTTCTGATCTAAAGATCTTTTCTCTCAAAAGAACACAGGATTCCTGAATCTTTTCTATGTCTGTGTCTCGCTTGACCGTAGTGTTTTTAATAATTTATAAAGTCGGTTGTTACTTGTCTTTTCAGTCATTTGTAGGAAATACAAGTGATTTGTTTATCCATGGAAAGAACAAGATGCCAGAGGAAGTTAATAAGGTTCAAGCTCTGGTGGACGGATACTTTTCCGCAAGGTAAAATTTATCTGTACGCTTTTAGTTGAATTTATTTTCATTCTTCATGTCATGAAACATAACTTAAATTCATCACGTTGTTGTAAGTGTTGAGAGTTTATGGAGGAGTCCAAATTATGTCCAAATGTTAAACTTAAAAACGCTGTATCTTGAAAAATCTTTTTGTGTCGGCTTGTCAAGACTTACGTTACTTTTTTGTAAATTGCGTTGAATAACTGCCAACTTTGTGAATTGTGACGTTTTTATAAAAAGATTTTAAATGTGTTTGCCCCCTATGAAGAAAATAAATTGAATTTATATTAAATGCAGTAGACCTTGGTTTTCAGAATTCCTTATTTTAAATATGCCTCGCTTGATATCGGGCGCTTTGCCATTCCCCATGTAACAATGAAGCAGTCGGCACTTATAAATTTTCATGAGGCCTGCCCCAAGCCGTTTTTTTTTTCCGCGACGAGACGGTTCATTAAAATTTGCTTTTTAAGCCCGACGGCGCAAGGAAAATCGGTAGTTCGTCCAATGACAAATTCAACCGGCATTGGGCTAAACGAGCCCTTTGTGACGAATGCTTTTTATTTCACCCCTTTTTCTTTCTTGTCAAAGGCTTTTCCAGGGCGTTTCTCTGGAAGCCACAAGCGCAGAAACCCAAATTTCTTCTGCCTCATAGATTTCACTGGTTCGTAATGATTTAACATTAGAGTTTATCCTTTTAAGAAAATCTTTTTTGTTGCGTCGATGTATGTCGATGATAACCCTATTCTTTCTATTCAAAACTTCTCAGCCGTTAAACCAATTTTTGCATTATGTTTAAAAATGTGTCTTGTATTTTAGGAAGATATTCCCAAAGTATGTTACAAAAATAAAATATCTATACGCTCATTATTAATAACTAGGTATACTTCAATAAATTAATACTTATTACAATGTACAGATCTTTACACATATAAAAAATAGATCAGGTGAAAAGAAATTCAGCATAACAGTCAATGACTTACTACTTTTTAAAGTAAGAATCGTGCCAATTGAATTGAACTAAAAACTAAGAAAAGTATAATAAGCCAAAAGGCGAAAATTTACCAAATCCTCCTTCCTAGCATCCACACATCATCATCATAATTCATAACTTTTTCCTATACATAATTTTAACTGAAACAGATCATGGTAGGGAAATAGCAGAAAGGTATGATTTAAAATTCATATTCTATTTTAATGCCTAAAATTATTTTACCTTGTACTTTTAAATGTCAGTTACTTTAACCAAATTTAAAATTTTAGAAAAAATAATTAAAACTACGGTAATAAAAAAGGGACTCATGGTAAAAACAAGAAAATAGTGAGAAGAAGGATCAGTGGCCGCAACGGTTTAGGCGTTGACACGGCGCTCATCACTGTAAGGTAAAGGTCCCGGGTTCGAATCCAGCGGCCCTGCATTCGAACCCGACATACTTACAAATGGGCTTTTTTTCAAAGACACCGGCACCCTGGGGATTTATATGACCTCTGCTGTTGCGGACCCTCGTTAAAAAAAAAATAGTGAGGAGCTTAATGAAATTAATTATCATTCATACCGAGGAAAGCATTCTGGTTTCCACAAGAAACAATCGGCAGTTTAATATTTTATATTATTATTGATATATATTAATATTTACGTAATTGTAAATCATTTCAATATTGAATTTATTTTATTTTTCCAACTTTAAGTAAATTATAGCAAGTAGTTTTGTAAATTATTGTATAAACTAATATGTTATGAATAAAAAAATACGAAAAAGAAAAAATTAAACAAAAATATTGTTTGTTTGAGTATGCGCATGTGCTTGTTTGGTTTTAACGTTATTACTTCTTGATCCTAACCATTTAATTTAACTGTATTCATAATTTATATCAAATGTATTTTAAAACAGTATTGCAGTAAAATCAAATGAATTTTGCGTAGTTTTTCGTAAGTATGAAATGTCATTTTTTAATCTAAATGAAACTAAGAATGATAAGATAGTAATGATAAGATACATCGTGCACAAATATTTACTGACAATTATTAATTTTTGGAACCAAAAGATGAATTTAATTTAGCTAACCATTAATTGAATTTTTACATAATTATACTTGTAATTATTGTATTGTTGTTAGAAGCAATAGAAAAAGCAAGATTTTCAAAGCTAGAAATTCTTCTGGTAAGATTTCAACGTATGAATTTTTTCTTGAGGTTTTCTGTTGTAAATATTTTTTATGGAATTGAACAGATCTCTAGAAGAATAGATATAAAAAGCGGTTCACGGGATGACAGCGTTTTGTACGAAATCAATGTGAACCAAAGTCAATATTTTCTCGACCTGAAAGGGGAGCAGCGAAGGAAAATCCTGTACATTTCACTATTATATCCTTGCGCAGGATCCTCAGCATAACGATGGGAAAACGATAATAATTACAAGAAAATCAAGAAAAAGCCTAGAAAATTAAATAAAAATTATCATAAAAATCAACAATCTGGCAAATTCGACTGTATTGATACTGTACATTCCAGTCTTATTTATTAAATATTAACAAATTTGCCATATTCTTTATATTTTCCTTCTTAATGCATTTTCTTATTTTCACTAAGAAAAGTTAACATTATAATAACACAGGATTGGTTTCTATCGTTTTCTCGTCAAGAAAATGTAACGAATGTTTTAATTTAAAAGAAACTTTAAAAACACATTTTATACAATTTAACTAATTGTATAATCCGTTGGAATAACTTTCTTGCGTAGTTTTAAAAACTTCGTAATTGCTTCTTTACCGTTTGTTACAAATTTTGAAGTAGGGTTTTCTTAAACTTTCCAAAACATAAAATTTAATTACTGAAACGAAACATTTTTCAAAAGCGTAATATATACTTTAAAAAGTAAAGTTCTTACGTTATAAGTAGTTGGTGTTCAAAAAAATTTTACATTTGCGTGATGATAATCATGTTATTATTATTATTATTATTATTAATTTTTAAGGGCGTTTTAACGGCTAAGGTGATAATCATGTTATACGAAAATTTGGGCTGAGGGTTCTTTTCTCATAGTCTAAATTGTATTTAAAAAAGGGTAATATTTTTAAATAGTTTGTTATAATTGTTAACTAAAACCTATTTAATATTTGAATTATTGCAACGTTTTTTCTATTTTATAAAATACTAGTTTTGTTTAAATAATTTTCCTATTATATTATGTAGAAAAAACATATTTTATGATTGTGATAAATTTAGCCAAAAATCTCAAAGATATTATTATAAATTAATTAATACGATCTAACAGATTTCCACCTCATACAGAGCTAGATTTTTTTAATTGTCTAAAGTTTATTGTTTATTGTGTGAATTTGTTTTAATATTGCAATTTAAAATATGAGTGAATCAACAATTAAATTAAAATAACCTTATAATATATAGTTGTTATCGAAACTGTTGAAAGAACTAACAGAAGAATGGGATTTCTTTTCATTAAATCATTATTTAAAAGGTTCATTTTATAATTTATTCATACAATGGAGGTACTACACAAACCGATTGATTTTACAATAAGTCACATCAGAAGCACCGTAATGAGAAATAGTTGAACTATTACTAAAAAATTATTCAGAAATCGTGAGATGCGGTCTGGTGTGATGTAGGTTTCAGAAAAAAATTTTCTTTATCGTGCCAACGTTTCGATCTTTATTGAGATCATCTTCAGGGCTCAAAGTGTTTGTCTTCTCTGTAATTGTACCATTCTGTGCCAATTGAGCACTCTCAACTTGACACGCAAGAATGGCACAATTACAGAGAAGACAAACACTTTGAGCCCTGAAGATGATCTCAATAAAGATCGAAACGTTGGCAAGATAAAGAATGTTTTTCTGAAACCTACATCACACCAGACCGCATCTCACGATTTCTGAATAATTATCGATTAACGGTCACTAATCACCACACATTACTAAAAATGTGAAACTATTACTTATTTTGATTATTTATTTGGTAGGAAAGTGGTTTTCAGTATTTTTCAAATAATTATACTTTTGAAGAATCTGACTTAAGCTGATAATTTGTTCACGAAGTAAAACTTTGAGTACAACTAAGTTTTACTACTTACAAAAAAGTCGACATCCAGATGTCGTCCATGGGAAGGAGGAATGTCAAAATCGAATCGGATTGACTTTACCAGCTCCGGAAAAATTTAAATTTACCTTGTCTCAAAATCTACTTGGCCGGTTTTGAGCGTCCTGCGAATGTACGAAAAGTTTGCCGGGTCAGACGTACCGTGTTAAGTGCCGAGCACACATGGCAGAGAGTACGGGCCAAAGGGCGGTGGTAGACTGGAGGCGGAGGACTCCTGCTGCTCCCACGCCACCCCTCACCGACTCACCGACCGCCCCCCCCCCGACAAATACAATTAGGCCTCGGAGCCATCAGCCGACGATTTATGCTCATTGTATAAAATAAGGCCGAATGTGCTGCCGACAACCTTGCCCGACGGGGAGAATCATGATGTGGAGATAATTAGCTGATTTATTGCTTCTTTTGAGCTGTTATTGCATAGTCATTTTAGTTATGTGTTAACCTTTGACCCTTATCCTACAGTTGCTCCGGAAGATCTGCTGATCAATTTCATTTAAAGAAGACGGCTGTAAACAATGGAAAATTGATCTCAATGGAAACAAGCGCCACCGTGTCACATTCACACTCCAAGACAAATCTCACAATTTCATTCATTTATTCCCACCCCCAAATCTGACTACGTGGCCTACCTTGATTACAATCTAGACTCACAATGAGAGCAAACGTCACTGGATTTTGAGACTACAATCCAAGCTATCGACGAAAAAAACAACTTCTTTGCGTGAAGTTTGGAAGGTTTTGAATCTTTGTGAAGTTTCTTGTAAATTAGAACAGTGCTTTCAAAATTATCGCCACTTTATTATTTTTGGGAAAAAAATCGTAGGGGAAAAATTTGAATCATCCTTATTTCTCTCACTTATAATGGCATAAAATTTGATTGTTTAAATTGATTATACTTTTTATCTAAGGTCTTGGCTGAGATGAAAAAACTGGTGTCACGAGCGCCTTCAAGTGGTTAGAGCAGCGGCATATTGAGCCGAAGGTCCTGGGTTCGAATCCCTCTCGTAACACTAGCTTTTTCATCTCAACCAAGACCTTAGATAATTCATTTAAATAATTAACACGGTCAAACCAAACAATGTTGGCGTAGCCTGAAAGAAGAAATATTCAATTTTGCTACAGTTGTAATAACTTTGAGTTTAGATTAAATCCTAAGGAGTCATTTTTAAATGTAACAGAGGTCATCGGCAAGAAACAAAAAATTGGCAACGGTGAATCTAGCCAAACTTCGTATTTGATGGTTTTCATACATACTTATAATGAATCCAAACTGGTTTGTCAATAAGAATTTATATAGCACTTCTTAAGAAATCAGTTCGGACTCTTTCAAGTGTCATGTTTGGTACAAAGGTCCTTTTGATAGGGTGACCCGATAGGACTAGCAAACTTTAAACGACTACGAATTATGGAGCATTTTTTTAAATTGTAAATATGTTTTTTTAAAGGTTGAGTATTGCGAATCATAAGTCCTAATAAATTGTTAGCCTCGTTAGTAATATTGGTTGCATGCTGGGAAAATTCAGCGTGAGTATGCTACATCAAGATCTTTATATGTGGTCATAGTTGGAAGTTGCAATTTGTTACCAAAATAAAATTAATTAACTTTTTTATTTCATGTAAAAAAATGGCATCGCAAAGCATTTATCAAAATTAAGTTCAATCCCATTTTTTAAGTCCTTATCAATAAAATTAGAAAAATCGGTTTGAAGTATTTTTGTCATTAACATTATTAATTACATGGTACAGCTTGACATCGTAAAAAAGTAGAATTTTCTGAAGTAGATTGCCAAATATGAGTTTCAAGGGTCTATTTTTATTTGGAAAATTTTCAGTGTTTAAATAAATAATAAAATTTTGAGTACAGTAAGTATCCCGGTGTCGGTTACATGAGTTCGCAGACTCGCAGACCAAAACCCTTCATCAAATCTAACAAGGAGACGACAAGGTTGGTGTGTCGCGGATTTGAACCAAACTTCTTCTGATGATCGTACACTCCAAAATATCTGATATTTACCCGCCACTTCTTGTGAAAAGGGCCTGGTTTCGCCAAAAAATAGTTGTTTTTTTTAATCTAATTTTTGTCGCAATTAAATAAGCATAAATCGTTACGTGTGTAGAGATTAGTGACCGTTAATCGATAGTTATTCAGATATCGTGAGATGCGGTAATTAGTATTTATTTCTATACCGATTCCTTATATAACGGCCTTTTTTCAAGATTTTCAACATAATAAGTGAATGTGTGGTGTTGAGTGATTATTTAGTTAGTTAATGATTATTTCGAGATCAAGAGATGCGGTCTGGTGTGATGTAGGTTTCAGAAAAACATTTTCTTTATCGTGCCAACGTTTCGATCTTTTATTGAGCCCTGAAGATGATCTCAATAAAAGATCGAAACGTTGGCACGATAAAGAAAATGTTTTTCTGAAACCTACATCACACCCGACCGCATCTCACGATATCTGAATAACTATAAATCGTTACTTAGAGAATAAAAAAATATTATTTTCTGTGTATTAATTTCATTGTTGATTAGTATAAAAAGAAAAATATTCTACCCTGCAGAATATTCTAATTTGGTATGATTTTTAAAAAATCAACAACATTCTGCTTCTTTGCATATTGTAACGAATATTCTGCAAGCAAAGTAGGTCAGAAAATGGTCAAAACTTTGGATTTGACTTCGATGTCGCGATTTTAGCATCATAAAACCCTTAGATACCCCCATTATTAAACCCCTTTGGTTTTTAGAAATCGGTGTGAGTTAACTTTTTGACTGATAATTTCGACGACCTTCTTATGTGACTTACATTCCTAGTGCAAGCTCTAACATCATTTTTCTCAATACCTAGGAGACCGATTTTCACGGTTGATAATTCGTTTTAAAGAAATTGTCAAGTTCATTTTATAACCGTATCAAACTTTAAAATAAGACTAAAATTTCCATTTAAAAAACGAGGTTAATTTCAGTTAAAAATATTTCTTTATTTTACGTTTTACTATCAAAATTTATCAATAACCAAAATATTTCTTAAAAACAAACATTTTTCAAGTAAACTAGGTCATAATTTTTTTTACGTAAAACTAATATGAGATTTTATTTTCGCATCTCTAGAGACCCACAAATATAATTTTTTGATTTAACAATTGTTTTTCATAATGTGAAAACATGTCTCCAGTATAGCATAAAATCCTTCAGTAAATCAGGAAAAGCTGACGTAACTCGACATGTGCCACTTTACATGATAAATACACCAATGCTTTAAAGCTCGACATAAAACTAAAATATGCCACTTTTCGTGAACAGTGACAGTGTGTTACTGCCAAATGAAAAGTGAGACGTAGTGCTGGCTAGCAGCTTAGAGTCCACTTACAGTTGGGTCATTTTTCCTGTAGCATCACCCACCCGAATACTTAAAATAAATAAATAAATAACCCGGTTTTTAGAATTTTTTGACTTGTGCCACATTTCCTGATAAATACTTACACCAATGTTTTAAAGTTCGACGCGGAACTAAGATATGCCACTTTTCGAGAATAGTGCTGCCTAGCAGATTAGAGTCCACTTACGGTTGTATCGTATCACTTATCCTGTACCATCACAGACCCGATATATTTTTAAAATTTTCGATTTGTACCACTTTTCTAGTGGGTGTGAGATATATCAGATATTTTGGAGTGTACAATCACCGAAAAATGCTTGGTTCCTGCCAAAAAAAATTCGTGCGACACCAGCCTGGTCGACCCCCTCGTAAATCTGAAGGATTTAAGAATATTAGCTTTTCTGTTCTTCTTCCGTTAAAGCGGTCGTAATAATATTTTTAATTATATTTTTATCATATTTCATGCGTTCATTTACAACAAAGAAAGTGGATTATTAAAAATAAACTTCTTTTTTACATCTTACTTGTTTTTTGTATTCCAAAATGAAGTTTTCTATTTGACTAAGATATTTTCAAGAAATATTTTTATACACAATAATATTTTCAATAGCAAATTGATTTGATTAATAATTAAATTTTCATACACAAATTAATCGAAATTTGTACCATTGAGAAGTTTTTTGAAAAGTTTATCATGCGCCGTCTGTCTAGTTTTGTCAGCTGCCGCTTGTAGTTGTTGGTCAAGAAACTAGTTCGGGAGGTTTTTTCAAGGTTACCCGTGTACTTGATAGTTGTTTGCCTTGGTATTTGACGGGCTCGGAAGGAACATCGCTCTCTCTCTTCACAATCATAATTCCGTCCCGTTTTTTTGAACTTTTTTTTTGACAATTCGATTAAAAACCAAAAAGCCTCGTTATGATGTCATGGAGAGCGGGCTTAAAGTCCAAGAGATTAGGAAAAGGTTCGAAAATTTAAACCCTAGTATAATCACCCGTCCGGAGTTGTCTGAGAAGAAGAACGAGGTCGAAAACAGCCCTAGCAAGGGTGGCTGCGAGCCCCAGAACCGCGGCCTTGTCAAGCGGACGCCTGCTTTCCGTACGCCGAAGGGAAAGACGAAGCCGAAACGTCAGGATGAGCTGACTGACACGCTCAAGAAAAAGCTCGAAGCTCCTCTGCCCGTCGGCCCAGCGCCGAAAAAACCGCCGAGGACTTTCGCCCACGGCAACACCGAAGATAGGCCGCTGATGCGAAGGTCCAAAACCGAGCCGCACATAATGCTGAAAAAGATTGAATCCGCCCTGCTGAGCAACCAGGCGCCTTTCCAGGCAGAGAAGCCGAAACCGGCACCCAGAACGAACAACAACCACGTCTACGACACTCCGAGCAACTCGAACAACAGACCCAGGCAGGGCAACAACTGCTTCCCTGTCTTCTGCAACCGGCGAGAGCCCCTCTACATGGAGCCCTACGCACCAAAGATCTCAACTAGGGATGCACCGAACACTACAAAACCCATGACTCTACATTATTTGGTAAATATTTATTATCTTTATTTGCATACAAGACTTGGTCTTTTATCAGACAATAGCATGTCCCAAATTAGGTATCAGTAAACCCAAAATGACTTGAACCATGAACTTACCAATTTCAGCCAGGATACGTTATATTACTTAAATCAAGATTAGCAAACCTATAACTACATCGTTACTCCTAGTCTAGACTAGTCATTCAGTTTTTAAAATGCAAACATTAAAAAAAAATTTTAAAAAATAAAAACTATACAGGGTGACTGGTGATAAGCGTCGAAAATTTCAGGGTTTTGGTTTTTTTCACCTTAAGGCCAATAAATTGCTTATAAACTCAGAATTACTGAATGTATACAAATCTGGTTTGTGCCACCTTAAATAAGGTTAAATTTGCTGTAAGCAAAGCTTATTTATTGACGAGAAAATTCTTCACGAAAAATTCAGAAAAAAAATGTTGAAATTTGGAATTTTTTGAAAATGTTGGATTGATAACTGTTAATGACTACATACTCCTGGAGTTTCGCAAATTCCCACAAAAGTTCACCGTTCAATTTGCTTCCAGCGGAATACCCACCTTTTTTTATTGCGCTTCTTGAAGGACCAAAAATTTTGCATTTTGTTGAAAAAACTGGTGTCAAAGAAGGGGGGCACGCTCAATTTTTCCAGAAAATCCGTCCAGCTCTTGAGTTTCATGTCAGATGTTTAGTTTGAAGTAAAACAGGTCTGGAATATTAATAATGGGTGTAATAGAGGATGTCAATTAAAATGGTGATGATAGCCAGATAAAAATGTTGATTGATTTTTTTAGAGTCGGCAGGCTACAATAAACATCATGTCATTTCAATTTTACTAAAATGATTTTTACAACACTGACCAAAATGTGTTTGTATTAGGCAAAATTTTTGATTAGGTTTTGGTATATCTGAGGTCCCATGTACTTTGAAGATTGAAGATCAAAAGATAAATTAATACTTAATATACAGGGTGATGCGTTAAGTGTCAAAAATTTCAGGAGGTGTTTCTACTCACCATATGCAACAAAACATTTCCTATAAACCCTGCCCAATCCAATCAATGGTAAAGTAGTAATTTCAGGTTTTCGGTTTTTTATTTTTCAACTTAGGTCCAATAAATTGCTTATAAACTTCAGAATTACTGACCTGAAAGAATGTTAAACAGTAGGCTGGTGAGTTAGTGTTTTAATACATAATGGGTATTTGTTTGTTACCGGAAGAGCAAGATGAAGTAAAAAAGCAGGGACCAATTTTTTAAAATCTTTCAATATTCTCCTCTGGTATTAAATAAAGCTAATCTCTTAAGCTATTGCTTACAATCTACACCATTTGTGTATTACCAGGCCTGGAGATCACCTAATAACATTTAACCCGAATATTGTACAATATTGCTTGCATTGTATTTCGGGTAGTGGTTCTATTTGGCTTTGTCATAACCTGGAAAATTTAAAAAAAATGTCTAAAACCCCTTGAAGATAAAATAGCGAAAGAAGGGATTATCCTATCAGAGCACTGGAAAATAAAGCGCAGGATGATGAGGCAGCCAAATTCAAATGGTGAACTTTTGAGGGAATTTGCAAAGCTCCTGGAGTTTGTAGTTATTAACAGTTAACAACCCAACATTTTCAAAAAAAAAATCCAAATTTCAACGTTTTTGTTTTTTCTGAATTTTTTGTGCCGAATTTTTTCATCAATTGTGCAGTGTAAATATGTTTTCTTACAGCAAATTTAACATTCTTTCTGGTTTTCTTACAGCAACCAGATTTTTGTAGTCAGTAATTCTTACATTTACAAGCAATTTATTGGACCTGTCAAAAAAAAACTGAATTGCTTATCTACCGTTGAGATTTGGACAGGGGTTTATAGGAAGTTTTTTGTTGCATATGGTGAGTAGAAACACCTCCTGAAATTTTCAACACTTATCGCCTGTCACCCTGTATATCAAGTATTAATTTATCACCCAGTTTTTTGATCTGTGCTCTCTTCAATCTTCAAAGTACATAGGACCCCAGATAATCCAAAAACTAATCAAAAATTTGCCTAATTCAAACATGTGTAAAAATCATTTTAATAAAATTCAAATGACATTGTGGCCTACCAACTCAAAAAAATCAACATTTTTATCTGGATATCATCGTCGTTTTAATTGACATCTTCTATGGTTGGGTTTAACGAAGATTATTACTAAGATGGTGTGAAGTCAAAACTCAGCAGTCCAAAATTATCATAAAAACAAATATTCACCCTTGTTAAGCTTTTTCAAAACTTACAGCTTATTTTTCAGTGTATAAGTGTCTGTATTGCTGTGTCTATACATTCTATCCTTAATAAACCAAACCTGTTTTACTGCTTGCTTTTGCATGATTGCAGTTATTCCGCCAATTTGAACAGTGAGGCAAAAAAGTTATTTTTAATTATCTTTTAGAAAATACTTTGTTGATTATCTTACAACAATATTTGGTCTGTTTTAAATTATTAGAGGTAAATAAAACACAGATAAAATCTCTCACTTGTGTTACAGTTGGATTATGTAAATAAATCTTTGAAAAGTCAATCTTTTCTTTGTTGGTTTTTCTTAAGTAACACTTCTTTCTAACATTCCAGTGGATTGATTTTTTTAAGCTTTAACATTTATATGTTTCAAATTTGTTTGAGTGGTGGTTTCAAGTAATACAAATTCAGCTAGATAATGATGTTGGAAAATGTAAGAAGTCAAGCATATATGGCCAGGGTGCTTAACATTCCCAGAACAATTGTCCAAAAAGGTTTTCCACCGCTTTCAAGATACTGGAGGTTAGTCATGGATCAGGTCACCATCTTGTCACATCTGAGAGAGATGATCGTTTTATTGTTTCGAATATATTCCGTATTCGACATTGTCCAATGTTGAGGTCAAGCAACGACTTCAACAAGTTAGAAATTTTAATGTCAGTTTATGTACTGCAAGGCAAAAACTTTCAGAAGCTGGGTTACGTGGGAGAAGACTTGCCTCTAGTCCAGAACTTCTGACAAGGCACAGAATAGCTCGGTTAAGTTTAGCAATAAATCAAATTAATTGTTCTGCGCAAGATTTGACTGAAATCTTGTTTTCGGATGAGTCAAAGGTTTCATTTGAAATCTTCTGATGGCCAAGAGAGGGTTTGGAGAAGTACAAGAGGTGATATATCCCCATTTTTCTGGAGAAGCTAAGGAGGTGGTTTTTATTGTTTGGGCAGGCATTATGGCAAGTCGCACAAACTTGATCTTCATCGTGGGTTCCCTATCAGAAGTTGTTCCTTATATGCTACTAATTGGCAGTGGTTTTATTTTTATGCATGACACTGCAAGGCCCCATACAGCTGGGATTGTTGGTTACTAAATGGAACAGGCTTCAATTCAACATTACGAGTTACTGGCATGTAGTCCTGATTTATCGGAACCATATCGAACACCTGGACGAGTTGTCAGAGAGTAAAAAGTCACCCAAGTGGTTCCAGAGAATTTGCAGAAATTAAGAATGGCGCTTGGTTGAGAAGTATGATAATATTGCGCAGCACTACATTCAAAACCTCATACAATTGATGCCACGTCGACTACAAGAGGTGACCAATTCAAGAGGAGGAAATACTCCGTAATGAATCAAATATTTTCTTCATTATTTCTATTGCAACATTGGTAAAATTTATTTAGCTTTATTAGAAATTTATTTACTCAGTTTAATTTTTTTATTTAGCTTGATATTTAGCTATCAAATAAACAAAATTAAAATTATAACAATTGTGAGTAGAAGCATTACAAATTTGCACTGGTAGGTAGAATATTCAATTAACTATTTAATTACTCACAGTAGAGGTTCACTGTGTCCAATTTTTTTTCTCGCTAATGTCGGGTGTTCCACATAAAAATGCATGACTCCTCAGAATTTAATATAAACTCAAAGTTATTACAACTGTTGTAAAATAGAATATTTCTTCTTGCAGGATGTGGTAACAATGTTTAGTTTTATGCCATTATAAGTGAGAAAAATAGGGATGATTTAAGCTCAAATTTTTCGCCTTTCAAATGCTTTTGAATTCCCCCCCCCCCCAATAAAAAATCATAAAAATGTCGATAACTTTTAAAGAACTCTACAATCGACTGAAAACTTAACAAACATTTTAAATATTCCAATCTACATGCAATAGCATAACTTGGCCTCTGTAAATAATTTAGAACCAGAGATATCAAATAAACAAACTATACTTTCACCCTTGTCAAGCTTTTTAAAATTTAATAGCTTATCTTTCAATGTATAAGTGGATGTTTTGCCTGTGACTATACATTCTATCCTTAATAAATCAGGCCTGTTTTGCTGCTTGCTTTTGCATTATTACCGTTATTCGGCTGTTCTCAGTTCCAATTAGTTAGTAATATATTCAGCCCTCTATGCTTATTAAAGACTTAAGTATGAAATTAGTTGAATGTGATAAGGAAACAGTACAATTTTGCAGTGATAGATACTCCATTATATTAACGATATATTTAATTACTTAGAGTATAGTTGTAAAACAATTATATTAAAATAGTAGAGGAAACTGGTGTCCGCGTTGTCAGGACATACAATATTTACTCCTTAGAGGTTCTGTACTCTATTGCCCTTAATATATGTAATATGCTACAAATATTTGGACTTGTAACACAAGAAAAAAGTGAGGATAGGTAGACCAAAATGATAAGAAACAACCAAACTAAAGGTTCATCACTCTATAGATAGACCCAAGGGGAAATCGCACAAGGTAATTTGACGTTAAGCCCTTCTGTATGTCAGGAATAACTTTTCTTACTTAGTAAAACCTTTTTTGCAAATGCCATTGTGCATTGGATATTGTACAGTGGCAATTTATAAAATAATTCTAGTACTTTAAGTAAACACACATTTCATCATTTACACTCAAATTGAATGCACAATCTACATTCTAATTTTTTTCTTTCTTTGTTTATATATATATTTTTGGGAGATTATTCTAGATGATT